AATAATAATGTATATAAACTGTAATTGAAAAATTAAAAAGATATAAAGAGCTTTTTTTTTCTGAAATAGTCCCCTTGAAAGTATTCTTTAAGTACATGTCAGAAAATATTCTTTCTATAATATTCTATCAATTAAATGTCTACTATGTGTCAGGGACTCTGCTAAATATCAATGTTTCATTTCGTCCTTTCAACCAATTAAACCTAAATGGTAGTTATATATATGCCTCAGTTTACCAATGAAGGCTGAGAATAAATAAATTGTCCAAGATAAACTAGTGAGTGATGACCTAAGATTCAAACATGGGCTTGAATGTTATTATAAACTATATTACACTGCCTCTCAACATATATTGAATCTATAATATCTGCCATTTATTGTTATCAAATTCTAGTGAGTCTTCATTTTACCAGGAGGGCATTCATATGATGACAAGTTGCAAGGGACTTACCAAAAGATCACATGTATAATAATAGCAAGAGGGCCAGAATATAAACCCTGATATGACTCCAAAGCTCATACTATTGTAAGCTAGTTCACTTATTCCCTAAAGAGGCCTCCCATATGGTATATTTCTAACTCTCATATTAGAATAATACTTCAACTGTGGTTAGTTGAGACTGATTGTCAAACATTTTATTATTAACTTTATTAGTTTGGCATGCTCTATCAGTTTGTATTCAGCTTTAATTTAGTTCAATTCTTCAGTCTTCCATTTAACTTGTAATTAAATCTGGTCTCTACATCAGGTTGCCCTCACTATACTCTTAGCTGATTTTGAAACTAAGTATACATTTAACATTCTGCTACATTTTTTCATTGTGCTAACATATACATAAAATTTACAATTTTAACTATTTTAAATGTATAATTCAGTGGCATTAAGTACATTCACAATGTTGCATAAGCATCATCACTATTCATTTGTAAAATGTTCTGCTAAATTTAAACTTTAAATTAAGATTCGTTGTATTAGCTAAATGTTAAGTGCTATATCACTAAAAAGTTTAAACATTGTATGTTATCGCTGATGAAACCATCTATGTGCATTACTGATGAAATTGTATTAAATGGTACCTTGAAACACTCTACCAAAGACCTCCTTCCAGGTCAACATGTATAATTAATGAAACATTCTTTAAGTGTCAAATGCCTTGTACAAACAAAAACATACTAAGTCTATGCCTTTCCCTCTGTTCATAGCCATGCTTCTTCTATAGACTACTAATCCTCTCTATATTTATACTTGGTGACTTCATTTTTGGCTTCCATGACTTATTCATATTTTTATGATTCTTAGTGAACCTATTTGGGCTAACGGATACTTTCTTTCCCCCTAAATGTTCATAATCCACTTTATAACAACTCTAGACATTTAAGTCTCTATCAAAAGGCTGTGTTTATTTTTTAATATATATTTATTGATTTGAGAGAGGAAAAGGAAGAAATAGAAACCTCAATGAGAATCATTGATCGGCCTCCTGCATGCCCCCTACTGGGGATGGAGCCCACATCTTAGGCATGTGCTTTATTGGGGAGTCAAATCGTGATCTCCTGATTCATAGGTTGACCCTCAACCACTGAGCCATACTGGCTGGGCAAAAGGTTCTTTAAAAAAATTATTATTCAATATTGCCTTTGATAGCAACTTGAAATTAGATTTGTCCAGTCTTTGATTTTTATTTGGTATTAAATTGAATAACCTGAAATATAAAGTATTTTTATTTATTGATTGGATTTTTAAAGAGAGATAGAGGGAGCCGGGACCGGTTTGGCTCAATGGATAGAGCGTCGGCTTGGGGACTGAAGAGCCCCAGGTTCGATTCCGTCAAAGGGCATGTACCTTGGTTGCTGGCATATCCCCAGTGGGGGGTGTGCAAGAGGCAGCTGATCAATGACTCTCTCTCATTGATGTTTCTAACTCTATCTCTTTCCCTTCCTTGCTGTACAAAAATCAATAAAATATATTTAAAAAAAAAAAAAGAGAGAGATAGAGGGAGAGAGATCAATTCATTGATTTATCGTTCCATTTATTTATATGCTGGTTGCTTCTTGACTGGATATCAAACCTACAACCCTGGTCTATGGGGATGGACGACTTTAATCAACTGCACTACCCCACCAGGGCCCATAGGAAAATATTTTAGAAAGACACTTTAGAAAAAGTATATCTTAATTAAAAACAAAACAAAACACTAGATATAAAAATATTGTCTAAATTATTCAGGGTTTGACTCATTATCCCGCTATTCTAATAGTATTAACAGCTCTGGCGTTAACAAATAGGTGTTGAGGAACCTGAATTTAGCAACCCGGGAAGATCTTACAATGAGTTCTGTAATTGAAAATATACTTTATAAATAAAAGCTGGTATGTTGTTCACATTACTTTTTTTTCATTATTCACTAATTTATTTTTTTTTTGGAGTTTTTGATTGATTTATACAGAGAGGAAGGGAGAGAGATAGAGTTAGATTGATTTGATTGATTTTATACAGAGAGGAAGGGAGAGAGATAGAGTTAGATTGATTTGATTGATTTTATACAGAGAGGAAGGGAGAGAGATAGAGTTAGAAACATCGAGAGAGAGCCATGGATCAGCTGCCTCTTGCACACCCCCTACTGGGGATATGCCCGTAACCAAGGTACATGCCCTTGACCGTAATCGAACCCGGGACCTCTCAGTCCCCAAGCTGATGCTCTATCCATTGAGCCAAACCGGTCTCGGCTATTCACTAAATTTTAAAAAACTAAGATAATGGACTGTTTATCAAATTCTTAGGCTATGCCGAAACCGGTTTGGCTCAGTGGATAAAGCGTCAGCCTGTGGACTGGAAAGTCCCGGGTTCGATTCCGGTCAAAGGCATGTACCTCGTCTGTGGGCACATCTCTAGTGGGGGTGTGCAGGAGGCAGCTGATCGATGTTTCTCTCTGAACGATGTTTCTAACTCTCTATTCCCTCTCTCTTCCTTTCTGTGAAAAATCAATAAAATAAAAAAAAAATTCTTAGGCTACAAAATAAACGTTAACGCAAAAAAAACAAATACGGAATAAACTTTTAAGAAACAGAACAATACTATTTTATACAGCAAGTATATAAATAAGTACAGGAAGGCTGGGTACCTTTCACTTCTCAGCAACGTTGTTCCTGCATCATGGACCTAATGCTGTGTGTGGTGTGACACCATGATTCCACACCAGTGAAGGGAAAATAAAGGTCCTCCCAGAAAAGACTTTCAGTGCCGCTCTCACACTTGAGCAGAAGCAAACTACTATAGGACTAGGCAACCCAGCTGGTCAGACTTCACACGCCCAGCGAAAGGCTGCAGCGAGAGTGGAAATACATCAAAACTCAAACACTGTTCCCCTAGTGCCTCGAGTAGTTTATTGGCAGCCATTATCCACATTTCTATAAATATAAACATTCTAAGCGACTGTCACTAGTTCAGGTACATTTAACATGAAAGTAGCTCCACTGGAAGCTACTTCATTTTGTGTAACAAGAATCAAGGCTCTAAAACTCAACTGTGCCACACAAAAAAACACCTTGCTAACGAAGTGAATTTCTTTTGGCTCTCTTCATTACAAATAAGTGTTGGCTTTACATGTAGAAATGATGTTGATTTGTTCATATATGATCACTGGAAGTTAAATCTTTGCCTGTAGATAAGAATTAGATCAAGATTTTTCCTCCTTTTAATTTATAGTTTGTGCATTCCAATGTAAACAGCACCAGTGAATTTCACAAAACATAGCTTCGCTGCTTTCCCCTTCATTTTCTATAACAGTAATTCTTTTCTGCAGTACTATATCATTCTTCCTACCTTATAATCAGGACTGGACCGCCTGTGTAACACTGTTCAGTTTGTAAACAGAAAATTAAAGCTCAAAGTATAATATAAGATTATCTCTTACATTTTCACTCCACAGTGCATCAGGTGCTGTTTTTAAAGCTATTGCTCCTTTCAAAACATTACAAAAATATATGAAAAATCACATCTGTGTTTAGCCAGCAAATATTAATAAAGCATTTTACAACGGGAATACTTTAGAGACCATGTATTGCAATTACATCCTCTTGACTCAATTCATCAACTGCTTTTTTGGTAAATCCAGACATACATCCAAACATATGCATTTATAACAAGTCTACATGCCCAAATTTAGTATACGAAAAAGTTAAGTAAATTAGGTTTTCCAAGTGAAATTGCTTCTGATAAACTATTTCTAAATTCCCCCCACCCTTCACCAAAAGGTGTTTTTAAACCTGACTGTGTAGTAAGATACATATCTATTTCTAAAAAGTAGACTACACACCAAAACATGCTGTGTTGGGAAAACTAAACCATGCACTTGATTTGAATATGCCTCAAACATCTCATCTTTATTAATTTAAGTTAGACCAACTTAAACATTGTCTAGAAATAAGATACAGCATTGCATCATTTGACTGCAGGAAATATCAAAATTCATTTGGCCAAAACTTAAAAAAAAAAACCCCACACTTCCTCTTGTCCCTTATTAGGTAGACCAATGTAATCAGTATCACTATATATATATATATATATATATATATATCCTACCTTCACATTTCCATCCATTAGCATTTATCTTTACATAGAAAGCCTTGTAAGCAATTTCCTTACAAAGCCCCCTCCCCCCCACCTTGAGAAAACATAAGCACAAAACACAGACATTCTTCAAAGTTTTATTTCTCTAACTTCAGGTCAAATTTCCACAACTGTTTTCTGGTCAATTTACTATCCTTGCTTGGCTTCCCAAAATGGCAGTACCAAAAGATTTGTGGGGGAGGGAGAAGAGACCATTTTAAGAAGCACTGCATTTGCTCATCTTCCACAAGGCAACAGAGTTGGGCATCTGACTGTTCAACAACACAAAGCTTTAACGGCATCCAGAAGGACAGGCGGGCAAACCAGGCTTCCACTTGTCAAAACCAGACAGAGGAAATCTACTCCACACAGACAGGAGAGCTGTCTCCATTCATCTCTTCTTCTTCTGTTGCCGCAACATTTTCCTTCTCTTAATGATCATCTCGTGGAGTTTCTCCAGCCCCTCCTTGAGTCCGTCCCCTATGATGGCACAGGTGGGCTGCAAATGCCAGGGGGTTGACGAGCTCAGTTCCCCCATGGCTAACAGTTTCTCAATTTCCGAGAGGGACAGCGAGTTCCTCAGGTCTTGTTTGTTAGCAACTATGAGTACAGGGACGCCTTGGTTTTCTGATATCCGAGTAATTTTGTGAAGTTCGGTTTTCGCCTCTTCCATCCTTTCAACGTCAACGGAGTCCACGACAAACACAATGCCGTCTGTGCATCGGGTGTAGGACTTCCACAGGGGCCTTAATTTCTCCTGGCCACCGACGTCCCAGAAGTGAAACGTGACAGTCTTAGAATTCCCCAAGGTTACCTTAATCTTTTCCGTGTTAAATCCTTTGGTGGGCACAGTATTGACGAATTCGTTGAACTGCAGCCTGTACAGCACCGTCGTTTTCCCAGCACAGTCCAGGCCCAGGATAACGATGTGGTAGGACTGGAACGAAGGCAGGCTGGACAGGATAGAAGTCTGGTCTGACAGTCCATTCCCCATTTCCAGGTGCAAATCAGTGTTCCCAGTGGAAAAGGCTTTCTTCTCGATGCTTTATAACTTTCCTTCCCAGGGGATCCAGCTACAAGACCGCTGAGAGGGGGTAAATGAACAAGTTATTCTTATGTAGGGAGGAAAAAAATGTAAGTTTTATTTCTCTTCTGTGCTAAAAGAAGCAACACGAGGTACTGGATAAATAAAACATGCTTCAGTAACGAACCAAATGAGATATGAAACGCACGCGCAACCAGAGGCAAAAGAGAGAGAGAACAATCACTGATTGAAATGCTTTAACATTCAGTGAAGTTGCAGGAATGCGTACACTTTCTTCTACCCTCTGGAGTCCCCAAACCTCAAAGAATCCATCCCGGAGACAACCTAGCCACCACCCGTCCAGGTTGCAGCAACCATACAAGTGCCGGGTGGTTTTTTTGTTTGTTTGTTTGTTTTGGGGGGGGCTGAAAACACACATCCTATCTCGAGGAGCTACTTCCATGTATTTAAAAGCACGCCCAAGGTCACTGGTACCCTCCCACCTTATGCACGACCCCACCCCAAAAAACCCCCCACCAGGCTCACCTCCCGGACTGGGCTCTCCAGATGAGACAGCATTGGTGGGCGTTGCTGCGCGGTGGGGAGAGGCCCCGCACGTCCGCTCAGCCTGGCTGTCCGCGCAGCTCTGGCGCCCGCAGCACTGAAACCCTCGTCTCAGGCTCCGGCCACGCCCACCCCCAGCGGCCCACCCAGGAGCCCAAATCCCATTGGCCGCCGCGCCCGCTCGTCGGGCTAGGCCCGCCCCCACGCCCGCCTCCAGGGGGGAGTCACTGCCGCCGCCGGCGCGGCGGGGCCGGGCTCCCCGCAGGTCCGCGGGCACCACCTGTTGCCCTCAAGTTAGAAAACACGGCGCCCGCGGAGGAGCCGAGCGGCCCCTGCAGGGCAGCGGCGGCCCCGCAGCTCTCCGTCCGGCCGCCAGCCCGCCGCTCCGCCCCGCCGGCCCGGGCGCACCTGCAGCGCGGCCCTCGGGCGCCGCTCCTCGGCTCGCACATCCGGGGCCCGCGTCGCCGCCGGCGCCTTAACCCTTCGCTGGCGGGAGGGAACCCCCGACGGCCACGCCGGCTCCCCGGCGAGATACTCCGACCCGCGACGCCCACGGTTCCCCTCGGCGAGAAGCGGTCACGGCGGCCCGCCCTCCGCACGCACCCCGCAGCCAGCGAGTCCGCCTCGGTCGGGCGTGGCCGCCCTCGCCGCCCGCCCCGCCGCCGCCGCGCTCACCTGACGAGCCGTCCGCGTCCCGCATCGCTCACAGCCGCTCGGGAGCGCGCAGGGACCTGCCGGAGGCCACCGGCCAGGCCCGGGCGGCGGCGGGGGCCCACACGCCGCTGCGAGAGGGGCCGGGCGGGCGGGCGCCGGGGCCGGGCTGCCCTAACGGTGCTACGCCGGCGCTCCCGAGCCGCCGCGGCCCCGCCCCTTCGCCGGCGCGGGCCAATAGGGGGCGGGCGGGCGCCTGGTCGCCTAGCAACCGCAAAACAAGGTCACGTGTGGACCCTCCCGGACCTGGCGTTTGGCCCCCCCCCCCCGGCGCGGGTGGGACTTCAGCCCCGCGAGCCGCTGCTTTCTGCAGCCGGCGGCTGGGGTGCACCCCACACCCACACCCCACTCACACCCCACCCACACCCCACACCCACACCCCACCCACACCCCCACCCACACCCACACCCGCCCTGGTCCCAGCGTCTGTCCCCGACGCAGGTCCCGGGTTCCAGCGGACACCCGTCGGGCGGGACCTTATAGGACGGGTGACTGGGACGCGCCTCTCAGTAGTTGCCCTGAGAGGCCTGGACCGGACTGGTGTCTGAAACACACTTTTTTTTTTTCTTTTGCAAAAGCAAACAAAATACTCCCTCTTCCACTTGAACCTAGCAGCACCTCGAAAGGAGGTGGCGACGGATAGAAATAGCCCAATTTTATAGATGAGGGCCTAACACGGAAACATTAAATGGCTGTTTCGAATGGCCCAAGGAAAATGAGTGCTGGTGCTGGAACTTGATTTTTAAAGTGTATTAAGAAGGCGGGGGAGGACCTGGTGGAGGGGGGGGAGGAGAGGAACACATTTGTAATAATCTGAACAATAAAGATTTATTTTTAAAAAATGCAATTAGCACCAAGGGGGGGGGGGAAGAAGGTGATCTGCCAGAGAACTTGTATGCATAGATGCATAACCCAGAGACACAGACAATAGGGTGGTGAAGGCCTGGGGGGGAGGGGGGGCGGGCAGGGGGGAGGGGGAGTAAATATCCAGGGACAAGGGAGATGTATGTAACACTCTCAACAGTAAGGATTTTTTTAAAATAAAGCCTGCTAGTCATTAAATGTGTAATGCCTTCTATTGGATAACTCTAAGTGCAATTATGTATTTGACCCATAAATTTGCAAATGTGTTTTGAAACCTAATGGGCAGTTGCTTGTGTATAGAATGGTGAGCAAGTGCTGACACTGTCTCTGCTCTCGTGGAATACTGAAGTCTTGTGGGAGAAAAAGAAAGTAACCAGATTTCCATCTGAAGAAATTTAACAAAATGTGGTCGTTGATAATGTCAGAGTCTTTGTGACAATAGAGGAGGAATGGTCCTTTAAAGTTCTGGGAAGGCCGAAGCCGGTTTGGCTCAGTGGTGGAGCGTTGGTCTGCGGACTGAAGGGTCCCGGGTTCGATTCGGGTTGGGGCATGTTTCTCTCTCATCGACGTTTCTGGCTCTCTGTCTCTCTCCCTTCCTCTCTGTAAAAAATCAATAAAATATATATATATTTTTAAATTTAAAGTTCTGGGAAGGCATTCGTGAACAAACATCTTTTGGTGAGGTTGCAAGTTTGGAACTTGGAAGAATCTAATATGGTGCAGTTTATTTTTAAAAGTTTGCACTTTTTATTTTATTTTTTAATTTTTTTAAACATATTTTATTGATTTTTTTACAGAGAGGAAGGGAGAGGGATAGAGAGCTAGAAACAGATGAGAAAGAAACATTGATTAGCTGCCTCCTGCACACCTCCCACTGGGGATGTGCCCACAACTAAGGTACATGCCCTTGACCAGAACCGAACTCGGGACCTCTCAGTCTGCACTCCGAGGCTCTATCCACTGAGCCAAATTGGTTTTGGCAAAAGTTTGCACTTTTTAGATATGGATTGAATGTCCTCAAAGGTCCTGATTTTTCTCAAGACCATTGTTGCTAGTGATATTTATCTCTTTTATGATTAGCATAGGAACAGTACTTGTCCTACTTGATTTTAAATAACTGACAAAAAGCCTAAGAACTAAGCACAATGCTATTCCAAGATAGTCACACTAATTTTGAAAATAAAGCTAAAAGCCTCAAATTGCATATTTTACCAAGTTATTTACTGAATCCAGCATAAGGTAAGACTTGCTGTTAGTTATAATTGTGAACTCCCATTAGCCATATACAATAACCAGTAGGCAAGTGATAAAGGGCTTAATGCAATGACTAGTTTACTCTTTTCCTTGGAAATTTAACAGGATTCATTATTAAGCTGGAAAAAAAATTGCAAATTCTCATTAAATCAAGACTTAAGAGCATGATGCAAGGACAGCTTTCTGTACAAAAGCTTTGAAATCAAGTAGGTCATTCCCATAGTGGTTTGGGGGGTGGAGGGGGTGTTTCTGCAGAGACTCCCCGGAGCGAAAGGATGAGATAGGAGAATTCTGAGAGCTTCCAGCCTTGCAGAATCACCTTCACTGAACTGCACGTTAACGTTAGAAGCAAGCTTATAACTAGAACAGGGGGGTGGCAAATTACAGGCTGCCGGCCAAATTCAAGAGATAAGAATGGTTTTTATATGTTTAAAGGGCTGCAGCAGCAAAGATAAGAATGTGCATTCGAGACCATCTGTAGCCCTCAAAAACCTAAAAATATTTGCTCTCTGGCTCTGCATAGGGAAGTCATACTCCTTCATTCTGAGCAATAACAATCAAATAAAACTGCAACAAATGATATAAAAAGTGATGAAATTTATGAAATACACTGTCCACATTGTAGCACAATGTTCCCGTAGAAGGCCCATTCAGATATTTAGATGCTATGCCAGGAAAATGCTCCCTTTAGGCTATATTTCACCTGTGCTGAGGAGCTCAGGAACTCATGGGGATTCTCTAAGACAGTATTTAACTTTTTGAGGGAAACACAGTGCCATCTGTTGGACGTTTAAATATATATATATATATATATATATATATATATATATATATATATATATATATATATAGTATTGATTTCAGAGAGGAAGGGAGAGGAAGAAACACCAATGATGAGAAAGTATCATTAATCAGCTGCTCCCTGCACGCCCCCTAGTGGGGTGGAGCCATGTGCCCTTGACCAGAATGGAATCCAGGACCTTCTAGTCCGCAGTCCAATGCTCTCTCCACTAAGCCAAACCAGCTAGGGTTGTTGAACACTTTAAAAACTACAACTATTAAGGTGTCTGGATCTGTCTATACAAGTGGAAGCTTGGATTATTTCTTTTGTCCTGATCCACCATGAAAAAATTACTGAGACACTAGGGAAGCTGTGAAACTCTGTCCTTACTTCTGATTTTCCAAAATTGGCTAATAATGAGAATCACCTCACAGTGTCGGTAAAATTATAGATTGTGCCAAATCAGAATAATCAGGGGAGGGACTAGTCTTCTGTCTTTTCAACAAATGTCCCAGGTAATTAATGATTCAACCTTCTGAGGAAATGGGTAAGTTTTTTTTCCCTTAAAAAAAAAAACACAATCCAATTTAAAAATGGGCAAAGGGCCTGAACAAATATTATTCCAAGGAAGACATATAGTCAACAGTTACATGAAAGGTGCTCAACATCATTAATCATCAGGGAAATGCAAATCAAAACTGTAATGCAATATCACCTCTCATCTGTTAAAATGCTTGATCAAAAAGACAAGAGATATTGTTGTCAAGGATGCATAGAAAAGGGGAACCCTTTTGTT